AAAAAAATTATGAGTAGATCGAATCCAAAAAACTGAACTTGCAAGAATAATAATTCAGTGGTTCTTTAATATAATATTTGAATATTTGGAAAAACAAAATATATTTCATTTTTGGTTATGGCATATTTTGGCCCTTTATTTCTTGCAATTTGTCACTGTGCTTTTTTTTTTTTTTTTTTTTTTCTTTGCACGTGATTTATTCCGAAATGAATTTGGGAAGAATTAAACGTGGGAAGAATTTGAGACGGGAAAGAAAACGTGAATTGGGAAAAATCTTTTTTTTTTTTTGCATTATATAACTATATAAATTATTATTATTTTATTTGATATCCCTAGAAGGGAAAAAAAGTTTTAATCTTTAAAAATTATCAGCGATGGAAAAATAATAATTCATAATTTCTTAAGGTATCTGCCTACGTTAAAAAACGATTTCGGCGAAAAAATTCGATTTTTTTTATTGCCCAATTTGAAAGGTCAATTTTGTAGGATTCCGAAAATGGTTCATTTTTACGTTTGTGATAATTAGAAGAGAAGGTATAGCCAATTAACTGCACTGGAAGTGAAAGCAGAAAGACCGGAAGTGCCATTTAAAAGGCTCAACTTAAAGGTAAACAATGTTGTTATCCGTGTTTTTTTTTAACTGTTTGTGTGTAAAATTGTGCTAAAACATTTCATTTTAATTCTGGGTACTTTTTTTTTTTGTTTCTGGCAATAATTATTTGCCTTAATTCTTTGAACTGGGACTGGCAACATTGCGGTTTTTTTAACTGGGTTTGGCAACATTGCGATTAGGTATAAAGACTATGTTGCTGGGTGCATATATAGCCGTTTTAATTTTTAATTCAGGGTATCTTGGATTACTTCCTGTGTTTGAACATTTAGGCATATCAATTGAACAAGAAATGATTAAAAATTACTTTGGAATTGATAACGAAAGAATAAAGAACTCGAAAATTCATTCGTCGCTCATTTCGAAAATAGCCAGAAAAAAAATTAAAATCAAATAGGAAATCAAAATTACTTAAGTATAAAGATATGGAGGGTGTGATGTACAAATGTGGAGAATTTTAAGTGTGTAAATACAACAGAACAGTTTTTCTGTTAATGTGAAATCTTTAAATGCGTTTTCTGAAAAACTAATTTTTCTAGTGTTTTTACATACAAGAAATGTAATTACTCAAAATGTTCTAAAGATATCTCTATTAAATTTCACTAAAATGTTTTCTATATTATTTATTAGGTTTTAAGCTACAATCTAAGTAATATTTATTAATTTGATTGTTTTATAAGTATTTCTATATAAAACGATAAGAAATATTTTACAAAAAACTGTGTTTTTTCATGTAATTACACATATTTTAGTAAATTTTAGAAATATCATATACATTTTAGTTCATAACACAGATAAGTGTTGTAGTAGTATACAGTATAAAAAAATTGAAATATATGCTGTGAGAAAAAATATACGGCATTTAACGTAAGTGTTAAATTCTCCTAAAAATTTGAATAAAATTGCATATATTTCAAAAATTTATAAAAATATTCCTAAAAATTTACCTATTTTCATGATTTGATATCATATTTTGACTAAATAAATATATATTTCATCAGAATTCTATGTTTTTAAAAAAAAGTGCTCCGAACGTAGGCAGATACCTTAATTATATTATTATATTTATTGAAATAAAGAGTTGTAATGCAAATTTAGTTTGCATGCATTGCCTTTAAAAATTCCCTTTGGTAAAATTAGCTACATTTTAGTAATCCGAAATTTTTTATGAGTTCAGCTAATTTTTTCCTGCAAATTTATTAAAAATTAGTAATAACTTTTCTTGTTGAGCTACAAATCCTTTAACAGAAAAATGCTCGATAAATTGAACTTTTTTCCAATGATGCTCAAGACGCTTTCTTTTCATTTCTTTTTTTACTTCCTTCTAAGGAAGTACTGTAATAGCCAAAAATTTCGGGGTATCATATTTCAATGGAAATACTCATTTTTACCGTTCCCGAATCCCTTTGGATAATTTTTTTTTGCTTGACGTCTGTACCTACGGATAGATTAAAGAACTCCTTTTTCACAAACGCATTGTAAAATGGATGCGAAATGGATTTAAAAGGTATTTTTAGTGACGTTTGTATGCACGCATGTATATATCTTGCATAACTCAAAAACGATTAGCCGTAGATCGTTGAAACTTTGTATATGGTACTGCTATAACATTAGTTGTGCAGCGTTCTTTTTTATTGCAATAGGCGATACCAAACATGTGAGTATATACATATCCATCTCCTTCCTCGGTCTATATTTTCTCAATCCTTGGTCGTGTTCGAATCCCTCGAACGGGCTGGCTGCATGGGTGTTTTTCCCCATGTGTAACGTATATACGAGCCAGTTTCCCTTAGAAAGTCCTCCACGAAGGCATCCCTCCCCATAGGCAGATAGCCCTCAAGGCTTTGTCGTAATTAAATAACCTAACCTAACCTAACCAATCCTTGGTCGTAGTCATATATATCCAAATACAGAAATCTTTTAAATGATGAAAATATTCATGTTTTCGCAAGGTCAAATTAAGAAAAAGTTAATTTTTGACGAATAACGAAATCTAACATTTAATGACATCTCCCTGTTCCTATACGTATATTTGAGAAAGTTTTATACTCGTTATTAATAAAACAAAATTATAGGAAGTTTGTCTGCAGTACGACAAAAATTTTTTATATTATTATTTCAAACTTTTCACAATTTGATGTTATTTTCAGCTTGCCTTGACGAATCGGTTAAGTAAGTTAGAATAATTTGGGGAAATAAGTTTAAATGCAGTGCAGCAAACATGTGTATAATTTAATAGGCGTACGAGGAGATTATGCAGTGTCATCAGATTCTTTAAATTGTAAATTTAAACCCGCAATTCAAGGAGTTTTGATTTAAGTGCAAAATTTCCACAATCTGGGCAATCTCTTCAATTCAAGCTTAAAGATTTGTTTAAAATATTCATAAAACTCCGTCTGATATTTGTCAGACGGAACGAAGACTCTCTTGGCAGTCGAACAAGGCGTGAATGACTTTGAATTAATATTTCACACTTAGGATACTATAAACTTAGTTATTTTAATTTATAAAATAAACAATCAATATAACTTTATAATATTGAAATCAGGTGATCTTTATAGATGACAATAAATTTAATATTTTTTATTAATTTGGTCATATTATTAGCTGGTAAAGAAAAGTGAACTAACTCTAAAGAATTTGGTATCTAATGCAATGCTTCGGACCAAAGATGTTTTGCTATGTCCGCAAAAGGATTATCTAATTTAGTTTCTATTGATGCCTGCAAAAGCAAACTGAAGACATCAGCACAAAAACTGAGTATTAGAAACAAAATTGCGATGCATTACTACATAAAACTAAGCATTAATATTACAACAGCAAAACTAGGCATGTTGCTTTAAATGTTCACTTGTGGTCTTTATACATTTTATCAAAAGTGATCAAAATCCTTGTTCAATCTCCTAATTTAAATTCTCTTAAATATATTTTGGAGAGAATTGTTTCATCTCCAATTAGGAAATGTAGCATGTCATCAAAAGCTGAATTTAAAAAACAGGGGGGGGGAATGAGCTGAAAATGGAGCAAAAGTTACAAATAGATTTTAGAGCAAAATTTACAAAAAATTAGTTATACAGTGCCAAAACATTTGCAATATGTAATGAAACCAAAACGATGGCCTACTGAGTACTAGATCACTGGCTCTCAGCTTGTTTCCCTTTCATCATCGCTAGTCGATCGTTTCCCTCCTCCTTTCCCAAATCCGAAAATTCATGTTATAGATTACTTTTAATGTGTTTTATAAATTAAACAAAAAATACAGAAAATGTTGATAATACTAAAACTTGAATAAAAGTAGTTTTTAATATTCATAAACGAAAATTCTAAACAGCTTGAATATAAAAGATTGATCGCATTCCCTCTTGAAATTGTGGAATTCCCTTCGCAGGGGAACTTCGCCCCTGGTTGAGAATCCCTGTACTAGATTTTTTAGGAGTTGAAACATTTTCGATATTTCCGACAATTCTTTCTCAGTATCCCCAAAACCTTACGCTTTTTTTTTTTTTTTTTGGTATTGCTAATGTATTTTTTTTTTTAATTCTTAAATAGCATCTGGATAAATTTCATAGATAATTTTTTTAAGAACTGTAATAATATTGCATTAAAATGAAATCAAATTTTCCTAATTAAACCAAATATACTTCTATGTATATAACTATTTTTCTACTTACTTATATTACTATTATATTATTATTTATTTCCAAGACTTTGGAAACTACTATATTTATTTAACTAAAATTTGAAACTTATTTCAGAAATGCAATATGTGTTATTTTGTAAAAACTCATCTGTTCCATATTTTACGTTTCATTCCACATTATATAAAATGTAATGCATTTACTTTTAAAAAATCAAAACATGATAGTTTACAAATATTTGTGTTACATAATTCGCACTAATGGTGTCACGTGATATTTATGCTAATGAAATTAAAAGAAGTATACTAAATGCAAAGGAAACATTTTTAATAACATAATTAGAAATTTCAAATGGAAATTTCTCATTTGTTTCTCTATCAAAATCTTATGATTTCACACTATATTATTTTATGCAGCGTTACATTTATGCATTTATATACATTTATACGCATAGTAAAATCCTAGATATCTGTTCTACGTAATTTGCCCAAACTATTGTTAATCCACTTTTCAATATACTCGAAATTTTTCTCGCTTCCTTCGGTTTCAGATTATTGCAGTTCGGTAGTTCAGTTAGAATTGGAGCTTTATTTATGAAAATTACTTACCGAAGTTTTCTTTAGTTCTTTAAACTGAAGATTTAGAATAACGATCAATTTAATAAAATGATATTAAAAAATTGAATTAAACTTTAATGTGCTTCATAGTTATGCATGTCCAGTTAAAAACATCAATATACTTCAGCTACTTACCTAAAAATTTAATTTTGACTGAATAAAAGTGCCACAAAAGTTCTATCATAGGATTGGCATCTTCTTCGTTCGGTGAATAGTGCAATGCCAAACTTCCAATTGACAGTTCTGTCCATAATGCGCTCACATATCATTCAGCGATCAGACGATCTAGTCCGTTTATTTATCCCTTCGAGTCTTCTTCCTTTCGAACTATCTACCTATTCTATCTCTATGCCAAGGCTAAGTAGGGTTACAAGCTCGAAGAAAGAGTTGTTTGAGGCAAGACACTAAACTTCAATGTCGCCAAAGCATGACATAATGTCGCCAAGTCAAGATTACGGGAATACAAATGCAGAAAATGAAATATGAAGAAAAAAATTTAGCTTTAGTTATTTTGAAAACAAATAAGGAGAAATATTTTATCAAATTTGTAATTAATCAATCTCTTTAAAATTTTTATATTCGCTACTTAGAAGGGAAATATTAAAAAATAAACTTTATTCACTCACTCAAATTGACATTGATCGTTTAAAAATTTTTGCGTTCGCTGTTTAGAAGGAAATATGAAGTAACATTTTACAGTCATTCAATTTAATAGATGTTAATCTTTTTTCCCACAATCGCTATTGATTTAATATGATGAAATATTTTATAGCATTTTAATTATCAATTTAACAGATGCTCTTCGTTTTTGCTCTTGCTACTGAGGGAAATGTGAATAAATATTGTAGCAACATTTTAATCTATCGGTCCAACAGACTAACACACATTATTAGCCTAAACGGCGTTAGCCCAGAAGGGCTATTAATTTCGTTTTCGCATTTTGCGTTGGTTCACTATCGGTCACTATCCGTTTGCGTCGGTTCACTTTTCAAATTGTTGCCACCAAACACTAGAGCACTGTGTTATATTGACAGAAATTAAATGAAGAACCTGCATAAATGTGTTTATTTTTTTCGCATTGTGATAAAACAATGGTACCTAGAGCCATCAAAGTTTTAATAACTTAATCTTCCACTGAATATGGGCATCTGGATGCCCTAATTTGGAATTTGAAATTTGCTTTATTATCTATTTCATATTTTGTGAAACTTTAACGTAATTTTGATTAACAAACTCAACGATTTAAAAGCGAGCAATGGCAACACTATACGGAAAAAAACACATTTTTATCACCAGTGCGCGAGTCTATGTAACGGCAATTCTAAAGATACATTCATTTAAAAATTATTTTGCGATATTGCTGTTCAACTAAATTTTGTGGTTTAAGTGCGAAGAACATACATATTACTTATTTGTTTAATAAATAAGGGTAACACATAAAACATTCAAAGAACGCCTTTTGGGCGTAATGTAAAATCTAAAAGCTTTCAGATTTTTTTAGTCCAAAGGGGCTTTGTCTCTGAAGGACTATTGCTTCCGTTTTGCGATTTTGCGTTGGTTCACTATAAATGTCCGTTTCACTTTTCAAACTGTTGCCACCAAATGTTAGAGTCCTGCATTATATTTGAAGAAATTGAGTAATGAAAAATCTTCATAAATGTACGTATATTTCTCGTATTGTGATAAAACAATGGTCATACAGCCACTGAATTTTGAATGACGTAATCCTACTGCGAATATGGGCATGTGGAAGCCCAAATTTGAAATTTGGAATTTGTTTTATTACCAGTTTCGTATTTTGTAAAACTTTAATGAATTTTTGATTAACAATCTCAAAGATTTCAAAGCGAGCAATGGCAACGTTGTACAGAAAAAACATTTTTATCTCCAGCGAGTGAGACTTTGTATCGGAAATTCTAAACATATGATCTATTTAAAACTATTTTGCGATATTGCTCTTGAACTGAATTTTATGGTTTAAGGGCGAAGAACGTGATATTTAATAAATAAAGGCAACAGACAAAATGTTTAAAAAAAACGCCCCAATGGACGTAATTTAAAATCTGAAACCTTTCAGACTTTTTTTATATATATTGTAGAGACATTAGGTTTGGAAAAGCCAAAAAGATGAAAAATGAGCAAACGCCTTCAACGGGAATCGAACCACGGACCTCTGAAATACCGGCCCAGTGTGCAGACCACTACACCACGAAAGCTCGCCAGGAAGGCGGGAGAAATACCTTATAATATATTTTTATTATTATTCTTTTTTAAATTTATTTAATTTAATTTTAATTTTATGTACTTATTTATTTGCATTCCCATTTTAGAAGGGAAATATGAAGGAATACATTACCAATTTTTCAATTAGTCAATCTAATAAAAGAAGAATACTTCTTTTAAATTTTTACATTCGCTACCTACAAAAAAAATGAAGGAATACTTTAAGAATTTGGAATCAGTGAATCTAAGAACTTTTGATTTTTTTTTTAACATTTGCTACTTAAAAGGGGAATATGAAAGATTATTTTATCGCCTTTTTAATCGGCCCAACAGATATGTTTATTTTTAAAGTTGAGATGTCAAAGATATTGTTATTTGATATGGCATACTATCTTTAACTTTCAAATTTCATTGTTTAGATTAGAGATTGTTAAATAAGAGATTTTAAAACTATCTGTATAAGTTTCTTAAAAATTTTTATCGTTATCATACTTTTAATAATAATTGTATTTGTAATGTAATTTGCATGTTATCCCGTGATTTGTAACACACTATACTGGTAATTTCTATGACCATTTCGAAAGTAAAGTTTCCGTACAATCATCAGTGCAAAACAATTGTTTATGAACCACTTGACAACGAGTTTTTGGCTACATTTTAAAATTATTTTCTTTAAAACTGAGCTACATGCTTCGAAAAAGATTACTTCATAATTTATATTATTTTTTACAGTTAAATTAGTTATTTATTTAGTTTTGAGAATGATGTAAAAGTTTCAAAAATCGTTCAGATGATACTTCTAAAGTTTCATAAATTTATTTAAGAAAGCCAGATTAAACAGCCTCAGATTAAACAAACTTATTATACTTTAGTTAAAAACCATCCAACAAAATATATGAAAATTCGATAAGTAGTTTTCGTTGTGAATTTGATATCACTAAACTATAATAGTTACAAATAAGCTGAGCAATTTAATGTTTCAAGTTGCTAAGTTTATTAACATTTATTTAACTAAATTTGAATACTATACACTCATGTCCAAATTTATCTTTACATATCTGAATATAATTATATTCATGAATTATTCAGCCGATGCAATCTACTTTTGCAGGGAATTTGTGAAAGACAAACCTAATTAGATTTATCCAATCAAAAGTGGTAAAATGGTTTCTGAGATGCAAATCATGGCGTTACATCATCTGACGGTGAAATCAAGCTCTTTGCACAGATTGAATATCTGAGTGAATTTTTGTAATACAGCCTTTTATTTCAGTTTGACGCTAAGAAAATGATTTCAAAATACTGAAACTATAAAAGGAGGCCCAGACAAGATCCTAAACGAGTAACAAACTGTATGGTTTCCCTTAGTTTGAATTACCAATTATTCTAATTTTTGTTATCTTTCCTGAACTCCTCAATTTCGCCTCGCATTTCCTCGGCAGGATGTAAATTAAGTTAAAGTGAAAAAGAGTATTTAAAGGACGAAAAGGGACAGTCAGTCAGAGCGTGATTTTGCTAGCCTAGCGCATGCTGCTGCTTTCTCCCTCCTTTCTGCATGCCTTCGTGGTGTAATGGAAGCACACTCGGCACGTATTGGAGCGGTCCAGGTTCGAGTACTGGAGAGGCCATTGCTCATTTTTCGTGTTTCCTACATCAAAAATTCTAATGACAAATTAAAAACCCGAAATACAAAGTGGTGGAACGAGAAATATAAAGTGGTTGATGATGATTCTTCACCACCGGGATTTGGCGACTGGGTACCCTAATCCTCAGTCGCCCTTTAAAAGGGGGAGTATATAAGATATTTTCTTCATCCTTTCTGCATGCCTTCGTGATGTAACGGTAGCACACTCGGCGCGTATTCGAGAGATCCAGATTCGAGTCCCAGCGAAGACATTGCTCATTTTTCGTGTTTCCTAGTTCAAAAATCCTAATGATTCTACAAAACTGCTTGTCAGGATCCATATCTGGCAATAACTGTCGGTCATATAAAAAGGTCTAGAGTTAGGCAGTTAAGGTCCAGAGTTTGAAGCTCCCACTATAATTGTTTTATCACTGCAAACGGTTTACAAAAGTCTTAATGAAAAAGCCTTGGCTTCAAGTTTTCATAATAAAAGAGAGATCGATTTAATTGGTACACAAAATATCAGAACTGGAATGAACACCAATGGCCCTGTGTTCTTTTTAATGATGAGTATAGGTTTAATTTAACCTCTAGCTCATACCATGGCCAACAAAATCTCCTGATCTTAACCCAGTAAAGATAGAACTACCTTGAAAGATCAGCTGCACAGAGCCGTCCTTCTCCTAAATAAATGCCCTAAAGATTGAAATACTGGAGAAGTGGAACTTAATTCCCCAAACCGTGGTTAACAACTTTATTGACGGTATGAAAACACGTTGTGATATGTATGTCAAATTAGGGGACATCATATTGCATACTAAATTCATAAACTTTAAAGTTTCGAGTTATTATTTTTTTCCCTTGAACGCTACTTGTAACATATTACTGTTGCAATTTTTTTTTGTTTCATGCTACAATAATTCATTTTGTGAACTATTCTTATAACATATTACCACCATTTTTATCATACATGCTAGCAACTATTTTAGGGGGTTGTCTGCGCAAACGGCTTGTAATAGATAAGGTCAACATATTTAATTTGCAGCTGTCTAATAGTATCCTTAGTATATATATCTTTTAGAAGAAATTATTTGGTCCATGTTTGAGCAAAGCACTCGAGGGCTATCCGCCCTCAAAAAGAACTTAAACCGGTTCGTAATTACGTACTAGCGTCGGTTTTATCCAGAATGCTTCTTATTTAAGTAACTTAAAGCTTTTTTCCCACGAAGCGAGAAATCGCCAATTTCTGGCGCAAGCCAACAAAAGGTACCAGTCAGGAGGGTGGAGCAGCGCAGGCGTCCTGCACTCGGATCGGGATATCCCGATAGCATCACTCCCTTCACCCTGAGCACTGCCACTTATAAGGAATGACTCCTATATTCCAGGTACAGCGTTCTGTATGATTCTTGATTTGTTAGAACTCCATAACTCCATTTCGCACGGAATTTTACAACCA